CAGGCAGAGAGTCACAGAGGTAAGAAGACCGAGAAGGACTTTGTCTCACCTTAGTTATGATCCTAAGATGTTTTTGACAGGTCTTGGATAACAACGATTCAAGCTCTATCAAGACCGGTCAAGGCCTTGTTCTTACAACATGGCTGTTTAACTGGCAACACGGCTGTATATGAAGTAACATGAAGTGTGTTGGCAATCCAAAGCATAAAACAAACAGCATGAAGCAATGACTGCCCAAATTAGAACGTATTTTCAGAGGACCTTCTTGTCGGTTATTTTAAAAGTACCTTCGATAAAACTCTGAGCCAGGTAGGTGATTCTATTATCATAAATTCAGTTATTTGACATGTATCTTTTAGAACTCTGCAAAGACATTAATCTTCCACTTTAAAATTATGATATAGTCACTACCAACTTATTCTTGGCAGTTTCAAGAGTAGGGGAACTTATCAAAAATGATTTATTTACCTGCAGTTAGTTCCGGGAGATCTTTGAATATCGTGAAATTCAGCTCCTTTGTGTATGTAAATGGGCCGTGCAGCTGAGCAGTTTTCTACTTGAGGGTTTTACGGGTTCACCTTGTAGCGTTCCTGTACCCTTGCAGGCTTAGAGCTGCACCTCACAGGGGGCTTAGAAGCTGTTCTGTGAGAGTGTAGAACAAGGATGGGCTTCTATTTACCCAGCATATCAAGGGGTAAGCCGCTCTTATCTGGTTTCCTTCTGACTATTTCCTAAAACCCTTTTCAGGCTGTTGGAAGATAATGTCTTCCTGACATAAGTCCTCTGCCCTTCGGAACTTGGGTACCTCTCTATTGGGGAACATTATTCTCCCTGTTGCCACTCAAGTCAGTGTGGACTTTCATTACTCCAGCATCTTCAGGACCCACGGAGACTTGAACATTGGCATATAGTTTTCTTTGGACCAAGGAGATGTTATGGCTTATCAAGGGCTGTTAAAATCTTTTCCCACAGATAGAGCTCAGAAAAGCCCTGACTTATACATTCACTGATGGGCATTTATTGAGAATCTCCTAGCATAGTAGCACAAAACATGGAAGGTTCTAAAGATAAACCAGATGTGGATGCTGTCTCCTAACAAGTCACATAGTTCTTCAGGGAATCAGACTTAGTTCTGTAAATAATTATAGTTATGGGGAAGATAATAACTCATAGTAAATCAAAATGAATCAAACTCTGAGAAGAAGTGAGAGGTGTATGCTTTGAGCCAACTTGAGCAACCCAGGCCTGTTACACAGGCTACTCGGAAGGCTGAGGCAGGCAGCTACTGGGAGCAAGAGATCAGGTTCAAAACCAGCATAAGCAAATGAGTAATATCCTGTCTGTCTATCTGTCTTATGTCGGTCTCTCTCTCTAGATATCTCTATCTATGTATGTGTATAGAGATGTGTGCATACACAAACACACACATACAAACATACATATATACACATTGCTAGGTATGGAGTTAACCACTTAACTATCATGGAAAACACAGCACTCCTAGCAAAAAAAAATTTTGAAATTTTGGCTTCATTTTGAATCACAATATCCATGTATATCTGTGGGTGTTGTTAAAAATCTTTTTTTTTTTTTTTTTTTTTTTTTTTTTTTTTTTTTTTATCTACAGTGGCTACCTACCCCTTGAGCAATGGCTTCTCTGCAGGGGCCACATTCTGAGGGGATTATGTTTTCTCAGGCAAGACTCTTTCAAAGCTACTAAGGGAAACTTTATCTATAGAAGTCAAAATTCAAGGTTTGAGATGGAATTCTGCTCCTCAGAGAGGGTGAATAGCAAGTCGTTAACCTTCTCCCTTTGCTGGTGCCTTCCGAACACCCCAGCGTCCTTCTCTCCATCCTCAATTAAAAACCCTTGCTAGCCAGGCAGTGGTGGAACACACCTTTAATCCTAGGACTCAGGAGGCAGAGGCAGGAGGATTTCTGTGAGTTCAAGACCAGCCTGGTCTACAAGAACCAGTTCTAGGACAGGCTCCAAAGCTACACAGAGAAACCCTGTCTCAAAAAAACCACAAAATCAAAACAAAACAAAAAACCTTGCTATACATGGTTCCCCCTTATCACTTCCTGTCAGCTCTTTGTTGACTCAGCATCCTGCTCACAGGTTAATTTTATTTAATCAAACACTGTAGCACTTGTACTACGGGACTGTATGTGAGCCAGGAACTAGGCTGGAGATTTAAAAACATACACACACAGAGACACAGGGACACGGGTCTTCCTTGATACAAGAATGCCAACTTTATTGTGTGCAGGGGCAGCTTATATAGGGATCCTTAACTGATAGCCACACCCCAACTCTTGGGATTTCAGGCTGTAAAATCCACCAGAATTCACTCCCCTGCCATCAGGAACTCATGAGGGTCTCGTGCTCAGAGCAGCTGCGGGCACAGGAGAACAAGTTATTTCACTCCAGCAGGCAAAGGGTCTACGGCAGGCAAAAAGAGTCAAGGGTCCAGCGGTCTGCAGCCCCCAATAAAACACATCTTTAAATTGTTAACAAAGGCCGGGCGGTGGTGGCGCACGCCTTTAATCCCAGCACTTGGGAGGCAGAGGCAGGCGGATCTCTGTGAGTTCGAGGCCAGCCTGGTCTACAAGAGCTAGTTCCAGGACAGAAACCAAAAGCTACGGAGAAACCCTGTCTCGAAACATAAAAAAAAAAAAAAAAAAAAAAAAAAAAAAAATATTGTTAACAAAGGCAGTATGAAAAAAAATGCAACACACTTTAAAACAATAATCCCCAACATATGGGAAATAACTGGGATGTAATATACTACTGAAGATGCCAAATATCACCTTTCCGTTATTGAAAAAGCCATGAGGCTTCATTAACGCCATCCACTTGTCTACATGGGTAGCTGTTATGGGGCTGTCCAGCTGCTTGGGTCTGGGTAGCAACTGATGAATGTCTGGTGCACAACAGCTTTAACAAGTGTTACTATCCACTCTCTTTTCATTATTATTCCTTTGCGGTACATCAGACTGCTGGAGAGGGCAGTCAGGACACGGGGCCCTAGCTGCTCAGTTCTCTACTGGAAATGGAGGGCTTTGCTGGCCAGATTCTCTTCGAGATACGTGGCTCAGCCCTGTGGGCGGGGCAAATTTCATCACCACTATTTCATAGACAGGCAAACTAAGGTCAGGAAACGTAATGGACTTGGCAAATGCCCCAGGTAGTAAATGAGGTCCAGGCTTGAGATAAGACAGTAGGCAGGAGGCATTTTCTTTCAGGTTACTCAAACTCACACCTTTGTGAGCAGAGAGTGTACATGGAGGCCCACTGTGTTAGTCAGGGTTCTCCAGAGAAACAGAACTTATGGAATGAATCTCTCTCTCCATATAATACACACACACACACACACACACACACACACACACACACACAGGGGATTTATTAGAATGACTTACATGCTGCAGTCAAGCTAATCTAACAATGCCTAGCTATGAGCAGAAAGTCAAAGAATCCAGTAGCTTGTTCAGGCCGCAGGCTGTACATCTCAGCTGGTCTTCATTATATGCTGGGATACCAAAGAAGGAAACTCGAATGCCAGGGAAGGAATGGATACACATTAGCAAGGCAGAGGCAAGCAGGCAAAGAGCAAAAGCTTCCTTCTTCTCTGTCCTTACAGAGACTTCCAGAAGAAGTTATGGCCCAGATTAAAGGTGAATTTTCTTACCTCAAGATCCAGATCAAAGGCATGTGTGCCTTCCTACCTCAAAAATGGTCCATACCAGAGGTGGATTTACCCACCTCAAACCAAGCAAAAAATCCCTCATAACTGTGCTCTCTGTTTCTGGAATTTCTGCTCATTTCGGATGTAGTCAGGTTGACAACCAATTCTACTATTCATCACATCACTGATGCAATAGTATTAACAACCATGATGAACAAACAGGTAAAATGTGATCGACTTTATTATTTATTTGGTTTTTCAAGACAGGTTTTCTCTGTAGCTTTGGAGCCTGTCTTGGAACTAGCTCTTGTAGACCAAGTTGATCTCGAACTCACAAAGATTCTCCTGCATCCCAAGTTCTGGGTTTAACTGCGTGTACCACCACCGCCCGGCTGACTTTCCACTTTAACAAACACATCTTTACAAGAACCTGTGCAGCCAGGTGGTAAGTTGAGAATCTGTGGACTCCTTCAAGGGCCAGGCTGGAAGGAGTGACTCCACTGTACTTTCAAGGGACCCACAGCACCTCAATAAAGTGCGCAGCCCAATAAAGAACTATCAATTGGATATGAGTAAATGGGGATCCCCAAAAGATCCTTGAGGTGGGTCTGGCACCACAAGGTAAGATATTTCAGAGTTCCTACCCATGTCTAGACGAGGAAGCGCCATCCAAATAGTGTTATTTCCACAAGAGCAAAGAATGGTCATGGGGGGGGGGGGTGTGCTCCTTCTTTGTCTTCAAGCGGCTTGACTGCTCTACAATCAAACACCCAGGATGTAATCCTTGCTTTGCCACGCCCGGATGAGCTACTGAACCCCTGGGAACCTCAGTTTGTTCATCTTTAAAATGGCCGTAAAAGTAATTATTATGAGGGGTAATTGAGATAGTGCATGCAAAACACTTGGCAGAATGTTGGCAGGATTCTGCCCAGCTGTATTAAATAAAGTGATTCAGAGATAATTCTCTGAAGAATTATATCAGCATAATTAAATCGAAGTAATCAGTAGCTGACCATGAAAAAAAAAAAAAGGCAGAGCGAGCACCAACAACGAACTGAGGCACGGGATACAGAACTCCCGCCGGACTCTGCTGGCTGGAACTTACCACTGCGGACACAAACTTAAGGCTTGCAATCAAGAGTCTGGGGCAGGCCACTCGCAAATGGGGGCCAAGAATACTGCAGTAACTCGGAACCAAAAGCACGTCTCTACACACTGCCCCGTTCTCCCTGCAGCGAGGACGGTAGAAGCAGAACCTAGTGGCAGAAGATAAGAAGACAGGCCACTGATCACCAGTTGACACAGATCCGATCCCCACCCCTCTGCACTCGGCGGCTCCCACAGCCAGTGCTGTGCGCTGACAGGTCTAGACATCTCTCCCTAGCAAGAAACTATAGAGACTCGGGACAAGTCCAGGCGTCACCGCGCATCCCTGTGCTAGTGAACCGAGCCAAGTCCTGCGACTGCCCGCCCCACCATGAAGAGCTTGGGAAGAGGCAAGCCTGGGCAGACCCATCTCTCCTGCTGCCCCGAGCTCCCGGTGGCTCATTGCTCATTCTAGCTCCCGGCAAAGATTTAAGTTAGAAACTTTAGGATTTCTTGCAGACCGAGAGCAGCAATGAACCCTAGTTGCTCCCTTTAAGAAATGGTCGTGACTGGGTTTGAAAAAATCAGACTCCCTCCAAAACACCAACAAAGGACTATATTTAGTTCGGAGCACTCCGCCTAAATTCCTTCTTTTCCCCTCTCAGCTTCAGATCCTCAGGCCCAGTCAGTGGGTGGAAGGGGGCGGGGAGCAGTGGAGAAGGAACAGCTGGGCCTCCGCCTCTCCGCTCAATCTCTATAAATAACCAATCCCGAGCGGAGGCGACTTTCCAACCAATGAAGCTGTCCAAAGTGACAAAACCTCAGCAGCAGCCAATAAGAAAACATTTGGGGTGTGAGACTCGCATCCTGGGGCCAATGAGTTGGGAGTCTGGGAGAGGTAATTTGAGCTGGCGTGTGGGTGTGCGGTGCGAAACCTTCCTACTTGCAGCCCCCAAACCTTGTCGGCCGTCTGAGCATGCCCTGACTCTAGGTGCGGGAGCCGTCTGCCTTCCGCGAGGCTAGATCCGCTAGCCGGGTTTTGGCTCCAGCCAAAGGGGAGGTTGCATGACCCCTCGAATCCTACCCCGAAGGCTGCGGTGCCCCCATTAATTCCCACCCCTAGCTCCAAGTCCGGACAGGGACTCGGGACGAGTTCTTCGCAAGGAAAGCGAACACTAGGTCAAGTGGGGGCACGCTCTCTGTTGCTTTCCTTGGCCTGCAAATGTCATGCAAGTGTGTGACCAGGAGAAGCGTGCACCGATTGGGGTTCGGCGACTGGTGTCTATCCGCCTTTGACAGCGCAAGGCGGAGAAAAGGTCATAGCCAGCAACTGCCCGATGCGCCCACGAGAGGCTCGCAGCTCCCCGAAAGGAGGTAGCTTCGGTCCGGAGCTTTCTACCTACACGTACAGGCAGGATTGCCCGGTTCCAAGCTTCGCGCCGCCACGCCCAGTCCCGGTTCGCCACACCCTCTAGCCACGCCTCCTCCCGACGCTGCGGAAAAGCCGGAGCGGAGCTCGGGCGGGGCGCCGCAGGCGGCTCACTGGGCATGCTCGGCGGGGCGGGGGAGGGCCGGGCTGCGCGCGGCGAGTAGGAAGCCCTCGCCCAGCGGAGGCTGCGGGAGAGAGCGAGCGAGCGAGCGATGGGCCGCGGAGCTGGGCGCACGTTCCGCGGGGACACATGCCACGCGTGTCCCAGCCGGACGCTCAATTAGCATCCGCCTCTGCAGTCAGCCGCCACCGCCTCCCGGCCCTCTCGGACTGCCGTGGAGAGGAGCTCCAGCGGTTGCCTTGCTCCGGCTGCGCGCATTGTCCTCAGGGTCCTCTTGCCAGGGCTGCTGCGGGGCCCGGGACCCTCGCCCCAGGGACGCACCCCGGCCACCGGTCTGCCCGGCGCGGGGCTCTGCTAGCCGATCGGTGAGCCCGCGCTCCCGGGCCGCTCTCGCCGGGGCTTTTCCTGCGGAACGGAGGAAGAGGAGAAGTCTACCCGCCCAGCCCAGCCTTCCCCAGCGCGCAGCCCCGACGGGGCCGCGGCAGGCGCGACGAGGGCGCCGACGGAGCCATGAGAGAGTACAAAGTGGTGGTGCTGGGCTCGGGCGGTGTGGGCAAGTCCGCGCTCACTGTGCAGTTCGTGACAGGTTCCTTCATCGAGAAGTACGACCCGACCATCGAGGACTTCTACCGCAAGGAGATTGAGGTGGATTCGTCGCCGTCGGTGCTGGAGATCCTGGACACGGCGGGCACCGAGCAGTTCGCATCCATGCGGGACCTGTACATCAAGAATGGCCAGGGTTTCATCCTTGTCTACAGCTTGGTCAACCAGCAGAGCTTCCAGGACATCAAACCCATGCGGGACCAGATCATCCGCGTGAAGCGGTACGAGCGCGTACCTATGATCCTGGTGGGCAACAAGGTGGACCTGGAGGGCGAGCGCGAGGTCTCATACGGCGAGGGCAAGGCCCTGGCCGAGGAGTGGAGCTGCCCCTTCATGGAGACATCCGCCAAAAACAAAGCCTCAGTGGATGAGCTGTTCGCAGAGATCGTTCGGCAGATGAACTACGCTGCACAGCCCAACGGCGACGAGGGCTGCTGCTCGGCCTGCGTGATCCTGTGAGGCGCCGGCTGCCGCCGGGCGCTGGCCACGCTCTGTGCACAAAGCCAAACACACCCGATTCTCTTGATGTGATTGTCTTCTCGCTTTGAGATTGGAGACGACTTTGTATTGGCCGGGATGTCCGAGGAACCTGGCTGACTTGTGTGGCCAGCATCCCCAGCCTTCAGCTAGGGTCCGAGGGGGTGTCGGTTCCTGACCATCCAAGACCCTGATGGAAATGTGGCTTTTTTTTTTTTTGCAGCGTGTACGTTCCTCATTGATTTCGGTTCATGCATAATTTTTCCCGTTTCAGTAGCCATCAAGGCGCAGTATTGGCTGCTTGACACCGGCAAGCAAAAGTTTCAAGCCTGAAAAAGAAAATGGGGGTGGGGAGGTGGAGGAAGTGGAGGGGAAGAAGGAGGCGGTGGGGGAGGGTTCCCCCAACCAACTGTTCATAGTTCCAAGTTCTAAACACAAGGAAGGAGGTCTGAGAAAACGATATGAAGGAGCCAGAGGAGGGGAAGAAACTTGACTTTTTTTCCCCCCTTGTTTTCCAGGATTATTTGGAAATTAAGACCAGGGGTTCCTTTTCTGCCAGCTTGGAAGGGCAACCCAGGGACTGATTACGATTCTGAGGATGTCTATGCAAAGTTGGGTTCTTGTTACAGTGTATCCAATCTGAAGTATTGCACATGTGAACTGGGACTGTTAACACTGATGCCAATACAGTGTGGGGTGCCAGGAAGTGTCTGCTGATATTTGTGGGAAAAAAAAATCTATTTTGATTACCTACTGTATCAAAGGGGAGTCTGGGGGAGAATGGTAGTATTTTTTTTTAATCAGCTGTGAAAAAAATGTTAAAAGATCTGCACATTTTTGTGTGTGCTATTATGTGTGTGTGTGTGTGTGTGTGCTATTGTGTGTGTAAGTATAGCTTTTTGTGTGCGTGTGTGGTTGGCAGTGACAGATTTTTTGCTGACTAGCTTTTAAAAATACAATACAAAGACTTCGTAATTGTGATTCAGGGCCCCCAGCACCCCTGTGTCTGCAGAGTGCCTTCAAACTCAGCTGTTCCAGCCGGTGCCAACCTGTGAATTCCCACCATATCCCAGAATCTGCTGTTCTGCTGCCCCCAAAACCACTAAGTATCTTCCTGAAAGAGCCAGGACAAATGGGGCCTGTTAGTCCATCAATTGCTTAGTTAATTTGTAGCTTTCTTAATGTTAAGGTCATGTCTCGAGTGCTTTTCTCCCTTTCTTCATTTTGCTCAGATTTCAGGTTTTAGCTCCCTTTTCTGTTGCATTTGGAGTGTCTCTTGTCATTTGTCTAAGGTTGTCCTCCAGACGCAAAGAGCAGAATTTTATTGTGATGTACCAAGAAAATTCTAACGAATTGTAACTTTTAATTCCACTCATTTGGTCATTGTCTCTTCATTTTAAGACTTTTAATACAAATGTCATTTTTAAAGAAACCCCAAACTATTTGTGTTTTTGTGTTTCATATTCAGTGATGTACAGTATCCATGGTAACAGTGTCAGGTGGAGGTGGACCTGGCCGCCCAGAGTTATTTGTCGAATTTTGAAGATAGAATTATTTCAGTGACAAACTGGACGACAATGTTTCCAAGCTTTTATTTCAAAGTGGAGAAAAATTATCAGGGTCTAGACATACCATCTGACTCCCCCGAGGAGGAAGTGTATTGAGTCTGTTCTGCTGACAATGAGCCATGAACTTCACTGTTATAGCAAAGGAGGGAAGCGGACTGCTAACACCCTCTTAGGTCTGGGAAAGTTACATCCATCCAGGGGATAGCTTTTTATTTGTCCTGGTTTTGTCTGTTTATGTCACGCCTCAATCAGAAGTGTTCTTGACTTGGTTCTCACAGTGTCTCAGCAGTCTTTGGAGTGTGCCAGGCTGGCCGTTATCTCAACCCTTCAAAGATTTCATTTGGAACCAAATCATTAGATTCAAAACAAAACATAAAGTAATAAACCATGCAAAGAGGATTCTTTTGCTCTCTTTAGTTTGTGGATCATATTTGACCACAAGCATTGTTTCTTTTAACAAGTAGGAGGCAAAGTGCGAGGAGGCCATGTGCGTTGTTACTTTTTCTGTGTATTTTCCTTGGGCTCTCTAGTACAATAATCTTGTCTGTAAGAGGAGATAGCGTAGGTTCCTGAGGCAAAGCTGAAGCCTGCAGAGTATTAACCGAGGAATTTACTTTTTGACGAAGCCAAAAGAGATCACAGGTTTCTTTAAAGTGATATCAATATCTCTTGCCTTAATTTTTTTTTTTTGTGGGGGAGGGAGTGATTTCATCCAGGTTGCATTTCGCTATTCCTGTGGGGAGGGAGAACAGTTTGGCCTGTCTTGGCCTTTTATTTATTTTCCAACTCTGACCTCATGCCTCCGTGAGTATCAAACACATTCGTTTCTACGTCTAAACATTGGGACTACTCAAAATCATGTTTTTGCAAGAATGCATCCTTCCATTTGAATAATTGTGGTTGCTTAAGTCGATTGAAGTTGATGCACAGCCTGAGGATGTGTCAAGCCCTGTTAGAAGGTTTTTTTGTTTTTTTTTTTTTTAAATGTGTTTGTTGACCCTCATTTGTCATTATTTGGAAGGCTTTGGGCAAAAGCTTTGCCAAGTATATGGCTCATAGGAAATGTGCGTACTCCTTACAGAAAATATTCGAAGGTGAATGGTGAAATAGATTGTTGGTGCACCAATCACCTCCACAGAGGGTTTTGTGGAGGTCAAAAAATAGGACAAGTTTTTGTTGTTTTTTTTTAAATAAAACAAAACCATGTTTCTACTGAGTACTGTAAAATAAATGCTTTTGGATTGTAAAATTAAAGCTGCTGCAGGAAAATGAAGGTCTGAGTTGTTTGGCTTTCACCTGTGATATTCATGGCAAAATAGAAATTTGGAGGGCTTTTTCCTTTCTTGAAACGTTAGAGAACCTCATCTAGGGTGGTGTGGAGACAAGAACATTTGTTTCAGTGAGAAAGGGAGCTGGTTTAACAGCTTAAGGAAGTGAGTCAGGGAGGGTGGGGTTTGTTGTAATGTAATCACCTGTCAAAACAAATTGGGGGGGGGAGTGCTTCCTGAGGGAGTGAGAAATCCTCTAAACTTGACCCCTACTGGGTATGTGGGTTTGGTTTTTTGTTTTGTTTCATTTGTTTGTTGAAACAGCTTTTCTTTGGGCCCCTGACAGGCAGCCCAGTTCTCTGTCACGGTCAAAGCATTATTTTTGTTCATTTGTTAACTCCTCAGGAAACCTAAAGGTGCCTGCTCAAGTCTCACCTTTGATCTTCAGGTAACCGGTTTCCATCCTAATGGCTAAGGTAGTTCACTGACTCACACTGAGAAACCAGGTCTATTTGAAGATTGTCTTGAGAGGCTTCCTACAACATGAATACTGCATATTTCCACTGGGTGAGAATCCCAAGTATCTTCTTTACTTAGTGTTTGGGTCGTTTTTGTTATCACTCTACCTTCTAGACAATGGAAAGTTATATGGAGCAGGAGTTTGGAGAAGTAAAGGGGAAATGCCTTATCTATCATAAAATAGCCTGCTCCATAAATGTGAAGAAAACCAAGATTGAATTTGGAGATGGCCACTGTGTGTTAACATGCTAATGTCTGCCAGTACCTGCTTAATGGCAGAAAGCCTGCTAATAGGAATTTTCTCTAGGAAATATTACAGGTCTAAAAATCAAGACTTATGCTATTCTTGATTGTGGTCTTTTGTTCAGACTACAAGAATGATCTGAAGGCCTTTAGTTGATTGATAGGTGATGGCACTTACCATGGCACTGGTAAGCGAAGCACTTGATCTCTCCACCGTAACATTTTGGTGATTTGAGACATTAGGGGGTCACCGGTTCCTGAGGCTCTCAAACTAAATTGCATATAAAAGTCACCCGCAGATTAAAATAATCTCTATGGGTGCTTCCCATTTTCTTCAGTGGACCTGGAGTAGATGCTCATTATTCAGGTGACAATGATGTTGCTGGTTTGAGACTCAAAGATTAAGCCCCAGCAATAACGCATGTCACCCTCGGCTCTACCTAGGTGTTCACACACTCCGACTTAAGAGCTGCCTTTCAGAATGCTTTTCTTTCTGCTGTGGTGATAAAATTGTCTCCACAAGAAGTTTACTGAAGAGGACATACACCATTGAAAATAACTTGTTAGGCTGTTGTGTGGGGGTAGAGCTTTCTTTAACTTCACATAGGTATCTGAACAGTGCTGGCTGTGATCTTCAGAGCCAAGTCAGAAGCCAGCTCTGAGAAAGTTATTCTGTCAGATTCAACATCCAATTCCTACTCCGTGAAATAAAACAAGATTAATACCTTTGGCTAAGGGAGCACTTTAAAATATTTACCGCTTATTCCTTTGAAATTAAAAGGCAAGGACTTCTGTTTTTCATGTTTCCAAGCAAGGACTCTGAAATTAAGCTGAGAGAATTTCAGTAGCCAGGTCACAGTGCGCACAGGTGTCTGTCTCCTCCCCGTGTTAGTTGATCTAATTCAAAGTCATATTGTTCTCCATTTTGAGAAAATACACACTACAAAAACTGTCACCTCCATTTTGCTTTGTAGACCAGGCTGGCCTTGAACTAATAGATACCTGACTGCCTCTGAGTGCTGGGGTTGAGACCTGTGCTACCACTGCCCGGCTTATTGTGCATCTTAATGTCCAAGAATGTTCCCAAAACTCTGTTTTTAAAAATCTGTGTCTTCACTGACTTAAAAGAAGGGCAAAGTTGAAATCCAATGGCCACCAGAGAAGTTGCTTTTTGACAGATGCCTTTTAGGAGGGGGAGAGGGTAAGGTGCAGATCTTAGAAGAGTGAAGTTGGGTGAGGGCAGGAGACCAGAGTAAATGTGTTTTAGTGAGTTCTAGACTGAGGTTATTTGCTGGCTTTTGCACCTTGCCTCAATAATAATACCAATAATAAATGTTTTGATGAAAATATGTTTGCCCCACCCCTTGTTGCTGTTATGGCCACTTTCTTGCACATCCCTTATTCTGGAAACTTGAAAGCTATCTGAATAGAAGCTGAGAAATGACTGAAATGTAGTGAGCTTCTGATCTGTCTACCCGTGGTAGAGCTTCTGGGAGACTCTAGAATTCTACCTTACAGAAAATGAAAGGTTATTGTAAAGTTTAATTCATCTACCCGATAAGAGAACATTCTGGTGTTTTGTTCTGAGTTTAAATGTCACTTCAAATAGTTGCAAACTTTTCTGTGTGATAGATATCTGTAACAGTGGTAGAGGGCTTAATAAAAAACTGCTCGTGACAGCAGAGGGAAAAGACGAAGAGATGTAGTATGTTTATATCGGGCTTCATTGTGTGGTGCTTTACATTACTGTTAATTTTGATCACTAATATTTGACTTTGTTGAACTATTCAAAATCAGAGGTTATATTTATTTTAGAATTTGTTTTTAGAGTATACTGTATTACCCTTTCTAAGAAAATCCAAATTGTAGTTTGTTCTAAAAGGTTACTATTCAACAGAGGAAAACTTTGTTACTTTAAGTAAATCAATGCATAGTAGGCATAGCATGAATAATAAAAACCCAGAGACGGATATTGGGGTTCAGCCTGAAGATCGGAAGAGCGAAGCAGCCAAATCACTAGAGAGCTTTTACCTCTAAGAAATCCTCAGACTGAAAGAAAGTGAGTTCCTGTCTCATTCCACCTTACATTCCTCCCTAGTGCTGGGATTAAAAGTGTGCACCACCAACGCTGGGCCTCTATGGATGACTAGTGTGGTTGATTTGTGTTCTGGTCTTCAAGCAAGCTTTATTTATTAAATTACACATGAAATATCACTACATAGTAGGATGATAAATTCTAAAGCCTTAATTAGTGAAATAATTTGTCCTACAAAGCAGATACGGCTAACTAGTAGAGGAAAAACAAATAATCTTACTGCATTTGGGATTTTTTTGATCTGTTCTATAAATGAGAGGGAACAGCTCTTTGTACTTTCCTCGTTCAGTTGACAAACTTAGTCTTCAAAGATGAATTATCTTGTAAGATTCTGTAAGGCTAAATTTTTCAGAGGCGTGAAAACATGGATGATTCTTTCATTTGTGATAACAGAAAAAAAAATCAAAGGCAGAGTTTTTTTTTTAATAGAAAAGAGAAAAATTATTGATGACTTTGCAAATACAGGTACCAAGCAAAAAAGTGTGCGATTGTTACATTGCTAAAAATAGATTTGCAATGGTGTTGGTAAGCAGGGGTAAAATGAACTCATTCATCATGTAACATTTACTGTGGATACGGTGTTCACTACAGTGTCAGGACCAATGCTTGTTGGGTAGGTTCTTAATACTTAAAAACAACCTTTCTTTCCCTTTTACCATCAGCTGCAAAGTAGTAGCTCTCACCCAAGACTATTCTGCAAAGCAGATATTTACATTGTTATTCATAACAGTAGCAAAAGTACAGTTACGAAGTAGCAACAAAAATAATTTTATGGTTGGGGTCACCACAATATGAGGAACTATATTCAAGGGTCACAATGTTAGAAGACTTGAGAAACACTGATATAGATACTGACATCTACATTGTGTGATGATATGCATAATATATATATATATATAATTAATTACATATTATACTTAGATATCCACCTTAGAAGCTAAAATTTATTGAATGCCATTCACAAAAAGAACTACAGAAATTTGTATTGACTAAATGTTAGGTTACATATAGACATTTTATCAATTTTCATATGTTAATACTAAAATATGTAGTTTTAAGTTTTACATTTTTTTAGATGGAATTATAAGATATTTAGATTTTATTTAAGCATTATTCTTTTACACCCTAGGAAAATCTTGAGGCTTAGGTTCCTTGTTTTTGCATTTAGTTAGCTTGTTTAGGCATACTTCCTGTTGTTTTTCCTTTTGTGTGGTGTTTGATCATCCATATCAAGTTCATACAAATAAATTTTCTGTCATTAATCTACATGAACTGATATGATTTAACTGTTAGCCATGTAAATGTAGCTATCATGGGGCAATATAAAGAGAGGATGATGTTGCCCTGTATTTGAAGAACCATACCCAAACTCCAGCAGAAGGTCAAGAGATGTCAACCCACAGACCTCACTGTTGGTTTGGGGTAAAATCTCTGTGCTTCATTTTTTTAGAGTGATTTTGTTTTTAATGAATTAGCTTGGAGACTGATTCAGTTAGGTGTATTTACAACTCCCAAACAATAATTCCAGCCCAGCTCTTTATCCCTGCTGATCTTGTGCTGTGGAGAAAAAAAAAAAAAAAAAAAAAAAAAAGAAATCATCTTACCCCCTGTAAGAGAATATTGTATTGTGAACTGCAAGTGAGTCATCATCAAAAACCGTCTAAGAGCACCACTTCTGCATGTCTTGTGTCTTCTTTCCTCTGTTATTAGAAAGACATAAATAGGGGGAAAGGCACAGAACAGGTTTTTCTTGCTCGTGTTAATAGCACTCATTGGTTAGTGTTGGTATTGTAGTTGCTAAGGTGTAAGAATGTGATGGAGCTAGACGGGGTTCAGATGGCAGAATGAGATGAGATTACTCAGCCACCAGGCTCTTGCTATGTTCTAATTTAGAGGCTCTCCTTGTGGTCAAAATGATGGATCATGGGTTGACTGAGGCCTTGGGCTACTACTAGCCCAGTTAAAGAGGGCTTGTGATGGAATAAAGGTGATACCGTGGTGACTGGAACTCGAGATTGCTCAGTTCCAGCCTGTGAACTTGCAGGGCAGAATACTGCTTTAGGTGTGTGTGTGTGTGTGTGTGTGTGTGTGTGTGTGTGTGCATGTGTGCACACATGTACACATATGGCCTGGGACATCCTGTGCTCTTTAGGGTACTGGTAACAGACTGTTCTTTCATCACTAAATGCTGCTGTTTTCATCCCTTCCTAATTTGTGACAATCAAAAGAGTTACCATGTATTGCTCCGAGGTGCAAATGAGTCCTTGGTTGTGAACCATTGCTATAGAGTAGACCTTGTGCTGGTGGAGCAACTATAGAACAGAGGGGAGTAAGAATTGTCAGCAAGTTCATTAATGTGGAATTAACTCAATAACCGTGGATCTTTAGTTGACTTTGAAACCAACATGGCTGTTCTATTCTTCCGGTTTAATGAAATCTAGTCAATATACCCATAAAACTTCAAGCAACCAGACTACTGGACGCCCAATGTGTTGGGCAAGTCATGAGTCTCCATGTTAAAGAGTTTGCCTTTGGAAGTCAGGCACACCTAGTCTACAAGGAATGCTAACATTCCGGAAAGGAGGGGAAATAAGCTCTAAGATTGCTAAGGGGTTTTTCCCAGTTGGAATGGTCTCTAAAAGCCATGTGTGCACTCAACAGTAATCCTTTACAGTTAGCAGAAAGCACTGTTTGGTGGAGGTGAGAGTAATTCGTGTAGCTTAATTTTACTCCTAAATTTGACAATGATCTTACATCAAAATGGATGGTAGTGGTGAAATCATTTTCTTCTCAGTGCCTGTGTATTGACTTGCACATAGAAACATTAGATTTAGTTGGTAATGTGATCACAAGTAAGTTTAAGAAAACAAGTTTTTTGTTTCTAATTTTCTTGTTTTTGTTTTTTACACTCTCTAGTCGTCTCTGCCGTTTTACATATTCTTTTGTCCCTAGTCTCTTGTTTTTATTGACTTCTGGAAAAGTTGTGTTTGGTCTGTAATTAAAAAGCTAAAAACAAGGGAAAATATTCTAGATGCCATGAACATATATGCATTCATAAGTTCAAACAAATAAGTTAGTGGGACGGGATTTTGCAGTGCCATGGTTGATGTTTTAAAGCATGAAAATAGTTTTCAGTGGAAATGAAATTTATCTTTTATGGGGTGACCATTTGATGACTGATTCTGAAAATTATACTTACTCTTTTGTTGTTGTTGTTCTTTGAGACAGGATCTCTGTGGAACCCTCCCTGCCTGTTCTGGATCTCTGAATGTAGACCAGGCCAAGTTCAGACCCACAGTGCTGTGATTAAAGGTGTATTCCCCATGACCATCAAAAAAATAATTGCTTTTAAAGAGGCTATGATTATAAATTTACAGTTAAAACTTTTCTTGTTTATATTTTGTAGCAAAAGTTACTATTTTACTATTTAAACTTAGTTTACTAAGAAGAGTAGCACTCTATGGATGAGAAAGAAGGCTTGTATGTTAATTACCCAAAGGACAGATCCCTCCTCCAAATAGACCGCAGCAGTGGAGAGTTGGCTAAGATTTGTACTTTCTTAACTATGAGGAAGGAATAGGATTGACTCTTTCTAGACAAAGAGTGGAAAGAATGGAGCTGAAGTGACATTTTGGTGCTAGCAGTTTTGAATATTGAATACAGGAGATAATGTGACAGAAATAAATGACCTTCCTCAAAAGTATTTCTGCCTAGTCATTAGCATTACATTTTTTGAAATTGTGGTATAAAAGTGATTCTTTTTGTTCCTAGTGCTATACAACGAGAGCTAGGGATTTTCATATATTTGGGACAATTTCCGAATGTCTGTGTCATTTTATTTCTCAACTCTGGTCCACGTTGACTGTTGAAAACACAATGCATGTGTGTGTGTGTGTGTGTGTGTGTGTGTGTGTGTATGCCAGAATGAGCAGATTTTGTTACCTACAACCAAATTCCAAATGGAGATTTAAAAAAGTAAAAATCAATGTTTTTTAAAAAAATTATAAGAATCTTGATTTTTGGTATTGGAATGCAAGTTGTGTGTAGAGCCTGGTTTCATTAATTAAGTAGAAAATTTTATCAAAAATAATTGCATGGATACAGTTAAGAAAGTGAACTCTATGATTACTATTTCATACATTTGTGTATCTTAAAGCAAAGAAGAAATACATAAATTTATCTTAAAATTGATCCTTCAACATATATTTCTTGGTATTAATTTTTAAAGCACAGTTTATTTGAAAATCTAAGCTTTTGTGCAAAACTAGTAGGTTATTTCCCATAGCATCCGTGCTTTGCTTTTTTTATGTAACCCCATCCATCCCATGGTGAATCTTTGCAATGTCACTGACCTTCTTTTTGTTGTTACTTACACGGAGTGTGTAGTTTCTAAGGATGAAGGCGGAGAACTGTGGAGAGTAGTTAGGTCTTCATAGAATCTACAGGTTGGGAATAGATAAGTGATAGAAGCATTTACTTAGGAGTTCAGCCATGTTTTACAATGTCAGAAACAAGGGATAACTGTGCTAAATTACACATTTAAATTTATGATGGGCATTGTGCATGGATAGAGGTTTGTTTGTTTGTTTGTTTGTTTCATTGCTGGGGATTGAACATGGGGCCTCACGTGTTGAACAAGAACTTTACCACTGAAGCTCCTTCTCTTCCTTCCCTCTACCTCCACGCCTGTATCTTTCTTGACAGTCTCATTAAGTTTCCCAGGCAGGCACTGAACTCGCACTCCTACCTTGCCTTCCGCGAGCAGCTGGGTTATAGTCTAGTGCCAGCTGTCATAGAGGTTTCTTAGCATCCAAAGCACTACAAGATACTTTGTAGCTTTTACTGGATCCCACGCCTCATTCCAACTAAATGGTTAGCTTACAGTGATAAGACAGACATACAGTTCACCCCGCTGTGGACCTCGGTGCCTGCAATGCTGCCTTATGCAGAATGAGTAAAGGAATGAATGACTACAGTATTTAAAAAAGTCAAGGAAATCTGTAGAATAAAAGCCACAAGCAGCTTTTCTTGATCTGCAAATGTAAAAATAATGGGGCTTAGGATGTCAATGCCAATATAGTGTCAATGACCTTACATTTTCTTTAAAGGTGCTGAAAGAACGATTAAAATAGTTTAAGACTGTTGGAAAGGAGCTGGGCGGTGGTGGCGCACGCCTTTGATCCCAGCACTAGGGAGGCAGAAGCAGGGGGATCTCTGTGAGTTCAAGGCCAGCCTGGTCTACCACAGCTAGTTTCCAGGACAGGAACCAGAAAAGCTATGGAGAAACCCTGTCTCGAAAAATCCAGAAAAAAAGAAAAGAATGTTAGAAAGGGTGAATATACTGTTTTACAGACCTATTCCCTAATGTGCTATGTAGGCATGTCTTGGTTTAGATAGTATCCTTTCTAAAGGCATTATGCAAAATTAAAACATATTCAATATATGGTTTTAAATGTGCTATTTAGTAGACCCACTTTTGAGTTACCTGAAAGCAGATATATTGTTTGTAATATCTACCAGCTAATATTTGAAAGTAGTAACGTAGTCACTAGAATTTCCTGCGTAACAAAGGCGATATGTATGGTGACAATGGATTTCAAAGGGAGGTCCCCAGGCAAAGGACACTCAGATTCTCAGGCACTTCTTTGATCATCCTTAGGAACACTGAGGTTAATGCTTGGTAATCTGTGTCCTCTGGTCCTCTTAGCCCTCGCGAAGTTTGAGAGTCACTGCTAACCATATGGGTTG